AACAGCAAACTGTTTAGAATGTTAGAGGGAAAGGCCAGTGAGGCCGCATATGCAAACGACCTCTGTGTTCCGAGGCAAAGGTGAATCAGGCCACATATGCAAATGACCTCTGTGTTCTGACTGGCTGTGGGGGGAGAGGTACAGCAAACTGTTTAGAATGTTAGAGGGAAAGGCCAGTGAGGCCGCATATGCAAACGACCTCTGTGTTCCGAGGCAAAGGTGAATCAGGCCACATATGCAAATGACCTCTGTGTTCTGACTGGCTGTGGGGGGGAGAGGTACAGCAAACTGTTTAGAATGTTGGAGGCAGGACTCAGGCAAAGCAGCCAGTGGATAGGGAGACCCTCTGAATGACAGATCAGAGAGCGAACTGATTTTGGAGCGTGTTGGAATGTTCAGGGGAGTCCATGACCAAAATAGGTACTTTTCTCCTTTTCTCACAATACAAGAACTCGTGGGCACTCCATGAAATTGCTGAGCGGTCGGGTTAGAACGGATAAAAGGAAGTACTTCTTCACCCAAAGAGTGATTAACACATGGAATTCACTGCCACAGGAAGTGGTGGCGGCTACAAGCATGGACGGCTTCAAAAGGGAATTAGATAAGCATATGGAGCAGAGGTCCATCAATGGCTATTAGCCACAAGGTATAGATAGGGACTCTGGGGCAAGTGATGCTCTGTCTTCTTGGTGCTTGGGGGGGGGGTCAACAGTGGGAGGGCTTCTAATGTCTTGGCCCCACTGGTGGACCTCCTGATGGCACTGGTATTTCTGGCCACTGTGTGATACAGAGTGTTGGGCTGGATGGGCCTTTGGCCTGGCGTCTCTTATGTAGAATTATATGTACCAGAGGATGATCCAACATACTTTGCCTTAATGTTCACATCTCCCACCAAATCCTTCATCTTTCTCCTTCCTTCCTTCCCTGTCCCATGCACACAGACACATATCTTATTTGTTTGAGTTATATCTCCCCTTTCCATTTATATGCTCAAGATAGCTAAGAAAAATCTGTATTGTACAATGAAATTACTACATATCAAAATTATACAATAACATACGAAAACTGTCCCTGAAAACTGCAGACCCAAGACAGAGAATATCATTCACACTTAAGTCTTGGTGAAGTTAGTGGATTTAAACAAGATTACAGTTCTCTAGATTGAATACTCTGAAAATCACATTAAGATCTATTCACATTGCTATCCTAAATGCCTGAGGATATCCCATAAGATCTGAATTCTCGGATGTTCTAATAAGAAATTTTATATAAAGGCATACCAAAGTACGATAACATCGGTCTGTGAGAGGCGTAATGACGAGACGAGGAGAGTTGCCAAGATATTCATAAGCATATTTTACATTGCAGTTGATGATGCGCACCCGCACATTATCATACTCCCAGTAATATCGCAGCTGAGCAAGCCACTGAAAATCTGCTTCATTCAACACACCTGGTAATAACAGGGGAAATGTCTTAGGATTTGGTCTCAATGTAGTAAGACACAGGGAGGGGAAAACAAACTTGACCCAATACCTGGAATAAAGAACCACAAGGGTTGTACTTTGTAACTAGGCTTTAATTGGGCCCTTATATGTTTTTGTCTTTCTAATAAATACATGTATTTTTGTATATAATAACTTTACAGTAGGTTTTTAATATTGGCCCTTTATCAGGCTTCTTTCAGTCTCAATGTACCCTGTAAGGGTAACATGAAGGAAATACAGGAGGCTTTGAATTTGTGGCTCTGTTCCATTTTGCTGTTACTGTTACAGGACTTACTTAGTGGGTTTAAATGAATTACACGAATAATATTTCAATAAGGAGAGGATTAAAAAGTAACTATTTTAAAGAAAAACAGATAAAAATCACATAAGGCATTGCAATAAATTTGGATCTAATTTATATAATGACAGAAAATCAAGGAAGAAATTATATTTTTAAAATTTACATACCGCTTTCAATCATTTCCATGACAACATCTCTAGCATGTACATCAATAGTAACCAAAGCACCCAATGTAGTTCTTGTTTGCTTAGACAACTTTCCTCTTACCAGCTCTACAATGTCATTTAACTGTAGCTGAAGGTTATTGTAATAATTCTTTAAGCCCTGCAAAGTGAACATAGATTCCAAAAATTTCTGAGTAAGTGATCCATATTGTCATTCATCTTTTCACAATCTTCTTAAAATGCTTGGAATATTATAGTGCTATACAATAAGTATGTCCTGATCACATACATTTCCCTTGCATTCAATGTTTCCCATTCTTTTAGGTAGAAGAATTATGTTTCTCCACCAAATGTGGAGAACAAAAGGAACAAAAGAAGCCTGTCTCTCTCTCTCTCTCTCTCTCTCTGTGTGTGTGTGTATGACAAGGGGAGGGGAAGTGGGGGGGGGGGAGAGAGAACAGAGCACTGTACTTGGAATCTATTAGGTTTCCAGTATTTATATTTGGCACTAGCTTATTAATGTTGCATACCTGTTATAGCTAGAAACAAAAAAAATACCATCTTTAGTGAGAAATTTCAGTGTATGATCATATAATTTAGTGTTTGTCCACAGTAGGACACTCATTTCTCCTCCTACACCCTACTGCGCACACTTCACTAAAAATATCACCTGATTCTTCTAGATCCTTCAGTATTTATTTATTTATTCTATTAGACTTATATCCTGCCTTATCCCACAATTGGGCTCATAGTGGTTACAACATTAAAATATATAATCTAAAACCCAAATTTAAATTTAAAATTTAGAACAATCAGAGCAAGATGGCAACTAAAACAAACAACTTCAATGCCTCCTGCAGGATGTTGGTCACATGATAATTGATAGTGCCCCATTTTACTACAGTGCCCTGTTGACATTCTTGAAGCAAAATAGCATAGGAAGGAACTGAAGCAGATGTTATGAGCAGATGTAATGAGCTGGGGAGGCAGAGATGGTTGAGCATCTGCCACCTCAACCAAAGGCCTGGTGGAACAGCTCCATTTTACAGGCCCTGTGGAACTGTAACAAGTCCCACAGGACCCTGATCTCAGATGGGACTGTGTTCCACCAGGCTGGGGCCAAAGCAGAAAAGGCCCTGACCCTGGTCGAGGCTAAGTGGACATCTTTCGGGCCAGGGACTACCAGAAGATGTTGATCTGCACAGCGCAAGACTCTCTGGGGAACATATGGGAAGAGAGACAGTAGCTCCCACCCTCAAGCCTACCACAGCTCTCACCCCACTAATAAATACTAGGAGATACCAATTAATTGATAAATTAAAAAACACAATAATTAAATTTGTAATTAATCAATTACAAAGATCCAGTTTACCAATTTGATTATTAACTGCTCCTCCAAATATTTAGTGGTGAATTATTTCATATGTTTTAGGACTGATTTTTAATTGTTACACTCAATTTTTATTTTGACAAAAAAGGAAATTTATCTAATTTGCTGTAGAAATGTATATCCTACTTTAGCAGTTCAAAGTAGTTAACATGAATATGAAAATAACAAAAAACACAATTTTAATATGATTAAATAAGAAGTAAACAACCAAATAAAAAGATAATACAGATACTATCATCATACCTGTGGGCCACTAGCTATGGCATCATGTACTTCACTTGTCCAGAACATTTGTGAGACACAGAGAACTACTTGGCCAGGCCACTCTCTCACCCAGTCTTTTCTTTCTCTTTCTGGATATGCCTATGAAAGTTAATGAATGATACTACCATTGTACAATTAATTACTCAGAACACTATATTCAGTTCTTACAATGATTCAGCTGGGCAATCAATCCGGTTGTGATTATGATATTTAAAATGTCATCAAATTTCTATGGATTCAAAATTAAATTGGACCCTTTTTTTTAGTAAGTCTGCCATTTAGCCACAAAGCAGTGTCCAGCTTAAAACTAGTTACTGTCAAAGTCCCAGTAGTACGTAGAGTTGTTCTGTCCAGTATTCTGTTTCTAAATTTTAACCTTTCCTCATATATAAGTATCCTGGGAACCCGCTAGGGTTCCCAAGTCGGATCGGCGCTGGAGCGGAGGACTCCAGCGCTGCTCCGGGAGTGCGCGCGCGCCGCAACCCCATCACCCGGAAGTGACGCGACCACGCGGGCACGCTGGGGACGCGGCCACGACCATCCGAGGGAAAACCATAAAGTTTTCCCTCAGATGACTGTGGCCCCGCCCCCAGCGTGCCCGGCGTGGTCGCGTCACTTCCGAGTGACGTGCACGTCGCGTGCTTTGGGGGTAGGGTTGCCCCCGGGGCCCGATCCACCGGCGGCAGGGAACGGGCCTCTGGGGCGGAGGTTTCCCCGCCCCCCAGGGGGACTTGGCAAGCCTAGGACCCGCTCAACAATGATGTCTGATGCAACACTCCCACGCTGAAAGTGAATCTAGGTAAGAGGCCTGCAGAGAGAGTATATCCTAGTGGCTATAAACCATACACACTATTAGTCAGGAAGTGCCAACAACCTGAAAGCCAGAAAACACCAAACACAGCTCCCACAAAGTACCAACAAATGGCATATCTTAGGACTTGCAGGGTGACGGTCCAGAGCAAACACCAGAGCAGACATCAGATGGCACTGTTACTTACGTAGCAGTGACTCCCAGGTCCAGCCAGCTTAGGATCTTGCTGGCAAAGGGTTGAAAATTGAGGCGCATGTCAAGGGTAGGGGAGGTGCTTAGAACACAGCAGTGCTAGGCTTAGGAGGCTCTTACTGGAATAGGTATATTTAAATGTGTTTGCTGACATTTCCAAGATTGAGATGAACCAATTTTTACTGACTAGCCACTGGTATCCCTTCAATGTTTATAACATAAAACGACAAATTCTTCACAGCATCAGTTACACATAAAAAGAATAACTCTATTTGACAAATCGATCGTATGCACAGTCAGTAAACTATGATTTACATATGATGCCTTAACCTTGCAGACTACAAGGACGTGTTTTAAAAATCTTAACTTAAATTATGCTTTCTATCAACTTATCTAGAACCGAAACTATTTCCTACTCTCACCCCAACCCATTTTTAAAAGTTACATTGGGCATCTTACAGTCCTGTGGTTAAAAAAGCATATTTTAATGACACATTGTCTAAAAGACTGACAAGTTTATATTAGACTTCTTTAATAAGTTTTGAAAGTAATCTGGATCTTGTTGATTTTTATTTGTTAACTAGGTGAAGAACTTACAATGTAATCCTAAATAGTTCTACACCCTTCTAAGCCCACTGACTTCAATGGACACAGAAGGGTGTAACTCTACTTAGGACTGGTAATTTCTTATCACCTTGATTTGACATAGATCTTCAGAAGCCCTCCTAAAAACAGTGATTCAGTGATTCAGTCATAGGTATCTCTCTGTCAACTTCTGCAACATTGCAAAAAAATCATTTAGCTTCCCTGTAGTATCATTAGGGTTGCCAAGTGAGAACTGAGCCGCAGGGGGGGACTCCTGGCTGGCGGCTGGAGCGCGTGCGGAAGTGACGCAGGCACACGGGGCACGCTGGGGGCGGGGCCACGACCATCCGAGGGAAAACCATAGAGTTTTCCCTCGGATGACCATGCCCACGTCACTTCCAGGTGACGTGCACGTAGGGGTGGAGTTCCCCCCGGGGCCTGATCCGCCGGTGGCGGGGAACGGGCCTCTGGGGCGGGGTTTCCCCGCCCCCCGGGGGGACTTGGCAAACCTAAGTATCATCCTTTAACAAACCTTTCATACAGGTATCTACAGAAATTAAGAACATGCAACTGCAAGTTGTACAACAAAAGATTCAAGTGTTTTTTGCAGATTAATGCAAAAATGTCAGAAATATTTTGTTCTTTTATTTTTCTAAAAATAACCCAAACCCTTGTCATACCACAAGCAAACATAAATGCTGTTAAGAGGTTTAAATATTTAGACCAGGGTCATCAAACATATGGCCCACAGGCCAGATCTGGCCCCTGCAGGGCTGCTATGTGATCCACGAGCAACTGGCTCTCTGCTGCTTCCTGTTCCTGCTTCCTGTTTCCTGAATCACAGCTCCTTTTGCCCAGTCTCTCCTATTTCCTGCTTCCCAGAGGACAGAAAAAGAAAGCCAAGCCTCCCCTCCCTCGATTGGCTGAGGGCTCCTCCCCCTCTTCCTCCTCTTCTGGGGAGGGAGGGGGAAGAAAAGAGCCAGAGAGAGTGAGAGAAAATGAAGTCCTGTCACACTTTTAAGAAGACCAACAACATTTTATTCCAGGTATAAGCGTTTGTGTGGAAGCACACTTCTTCAGAGAGAAGGAGGGGGTGAAGGAAGGGAGAGAGCGAGAGCGAGAGCGAGAGCGAGAGCGAGAGAGAGAGAGAGAGAGAGAGAGAGAGAGCGAGAGAGAGAGAGAGAGAGAGAGAGAGAGAGAGAGAGAGAGATGGAATCCCATGGCACTTGGAGAAATCCCCCTTTCCAGTTCTAAAAGATGGGGGGGAGACATAGCAGCACAGCTTGCATTCTTTATTAGTGAAAGGGCATGAGCTTTCATAAGTTACTGCTCACTTCTTCAGATACAGCTATAATGTGAGTCCATCTGTCTTTATATCTTGGAAACTGAAGTGATTTCAGACACCAAATGACAATAGCAGGCATTGATAATGAGAGAAGAAACCTAGGTCTCAATTCAGTCCAGGAGAATGCATTGTCTTGAGCTTCATTATCAGTTGCAATTCAGCAGTCTCTCCTTCTAATCTCCCTTTGAAATTCCTTTATAAGAGAACTGCAACTCTGCAACTGAATGTCCTGGAAGGTTAAAATGTTTCCCCACTGGTTTTCAAATGCTGAGATTTCTAATAGCAGTAGAAGGAGTAAGAGTCCTGTAGCACCTTAAAGACTAACAAAATTTTGGGTAGGGTATGTGCTTTCATGAGTCACTTCTCACTTCTTCAGACTTATTTCTGTTTATTCTTTGCATCCTCCTGGACTGAATCCTTCTGTACCAAATTGAGACCTAGGTTTACTGTCTCATTACCAGTGCTGATATCTTCACACCTACTACCCCCTCTGCATATCACACCTAATCCAATCACACCTACTATTGCCATTCAGCATCTGAAATAATCTTTATAAAGTGTATATCTCCGGTACCTTGTGCTACATTTTATGTGCACACATGGCCCAGCTCAATGAAGTGACATTTATGTCAAATCCGGCCCTTGTAACAAATGAGTTCGACACCCCCGATTTAGACCATGAGCTATGTAATGCCATGTAAAACTCTCGTTTGTTTTATTGTTCTTTCCAGGTTTTTGTTACATTCTGGCCCCAACAACCACAGTGTTCACTTGCTTAAATGTCAAGTAAGAGGAGAAAAACCACAGGCCTATAAACACTAAAAAAAATAGCCTGAAATTAAATTAAATATCTTGCAAGAGCCATTCTAATGAAAGCATACCAGCCGTGATCTTGCAATGACATCATGAATGCTCCTCAGCATGATATCTTCCACTTGTATCAGCCACTTTTCTACAGCCCCTCTTGCTTCAGAAGTTGAAATAGTTGAAATCAGCTCCACACGTTCACCTTCAGTGCTGTACATTGCCTTGATATCCAAATTGGAAAGAAATTCCAGCTTAGCAATACCTTCAAAACATTTTTTCAAATGAGGTTGGACTCTGAGAGGATCTTTAGTCTCTGACAGGATCTCCAACATTTCATCATTGGATAAGAAGAAAAAGCTACAAAGAAATTCAAAGAAATGGCAAGCCCACCAAGTTACTGTGTGTACTTATGCATATTTTGTGTCAAATATACAAATATGGCATATTCTAGCTTGATCATGAGCACTATATAGCATACCGGGGAAAGAACAGACGTTTCTTCTCAAGATAAGCATTCAGTCCTTTCATTATTTTGTCGAGAAGTTCATTACAGTTCTGAAGCTTTTCTAACAAGCCTGTCAATGAGGTTGCTGCAAGAACCTATATAAATAAGGTATGATCAGTATGCATACCAGGCATTAGCATAGAAAAGAGATTTCAATGCCCAAACCATCAGTAAAAGGTCTCAGAAACACCAACAGCTGCTTTAAAACAGCAAATGAGCATATATATATGAGCGTATACGTCCTGGTCCCACTGCTGGACCTCCTGATGGCACCTGGTATTTTTGGCCACTGTGTGACAGAGTGTTGGACTGGATAGGCCATTGGCCTGATCCAACACTGGCTTCTCATTTGTTCTTATATCACATGCATATGCAGAAAGGAGCCACAGGCAACCCTGGTTCTTCCTGGTACATGCATTCATTCAGTTCACATGGCAGGAAAGACACATTACAGTTTCACAATAATTTTTTTGAAAGGACTACCGGTTCCATAAGAATTTACTGGAAATCCACTTCATATTCCATGGCCCCTGCTATGCAAAGTGGCTATCTGGAATAAGACCTTTTCCTTGGGGTACCAAATCACAGAGCTTCCTTCTAAATCAGATTTACCTGTTAGCATTTAGGCACCAAACTTGAGGCTCTTTTTCAAAAAGTTGTTTGGATGTTTTGACTGCCTAGATAAGAATTACTGCTCTGCTATCTTTCCTTTCCTTTCCTTTCTTCTCCTTTCCTTTCCTTCTTTTTGTGGTTTAGTTTGATTTTGGTTCTTGATGAACTTTTTTGTTGCAGCCTGTTAATACACTGGATCCAATGCCTTCCTTATGCTAAGTAAGAAGTTTTGCTTCAGTGGAATGAGGCATGTGGGTCTAGTAACCATGCCAGTCAGGAGGTCACAGAGGGGAAGGGGACAACATTGTCTATTCTGTCTCTTCCATCCGTGATTTTACTTCAATCCCCCTCTCCCTGTGGCCTCCTGATCTGCATGGCTATTTAGTCCACATGGATTCTGAAACCCTGGGAATAAATCTTCCAGAGCTCAGAAAGGGCTGCTGGGAGAAGAGGAGAATGAGGAAAAGATCTGCAATCCTTTCATCTGAATGAAGACTGCATGATTCAACCCCATGTATTTGCCTCACCTCCTAACTACTGACCTCATCAATACTATTTTACCTTGGGGTCCTTGGCACAGTATCTCATGATGTCTCTCCAGTATCGGTCCACAGTCTGGAACTGACGCCCCTCCTCAGGCATCTGTTGCATAATATCCTCCGAAGAAAATATGGGTTCTAAGTAAAGCCACTGAGCCTGCACTTTCAACCATTCATCGATAGTCTCTTGAATTCTAATCAAGCGATCTTCCCACTCCTTAAAAATACAAAGAAGTACTTGGCATAAGAGATCTTGACTAAAAAGGGTTAAAGCAAGGCACAGAAAATGAAGAATTTTAGCTTGGATTCAACGGTTGTTTCTGCTGACTGAATGGATTTTGGCCAGTAGAGCCGTACCTCCCATTCCAAAATAAGACCTGAAATGCTGCTTTTGGGGGACAAGAGACCCCACCCAGGAACAATATGAGAAGACAGAAGTCAGCAATGGGAGCAGGGAATTGGTGAAAATACCCAACCTTCTGTTTACGGAAATTTTCTGCTCGATCTTTCTTCTACATTACCAAAACAGATAATAGAAACAGGAGGGAGATCAAAGTATTCATTTAACTTTGTTGTCCCACCCTTCCTTAAAAGAATTCAGGATGGTATACATGGTTCACTCCTCTCCTCATTTGATACTCATAATGCTGTGAAAGTAGATTAAGACAGAGACTGTAACTGGCCCAAGGTGGGCATCATGGCTAGGTAGGAATCTGAACCTAAGTGAGCAATGACTCACGAATTTTTGTTAGTCTTTAAGGTGCTTCTGGACTCTTGCTCTTTTCTAAGTGTCCTAGTTGCTTTCCACACAGGGAAGGACTTGTGTGGTTTAACTGTGGCAACTCAGGCTAAATGCCCCATTGCTGCTACACTGTGCTTCTGTACAGCAGGTTTCCTCACATTTTCCTTGCCCCAGTGCTCCACAGAGGTTATTCCTCCTGCACCACCAGGGTTATTTTGCTTTAAATCAATCACTGACATATCGCTGTAGTACAAAATAACAACCACGTTCTCTGAATTCCCTGTTTTGGCGGCAGCAGTTTATATCATTCACACAGTGAATCTCCATGGGCAATGGTGGCAGCTGCTGCCAAAGCAACATTTTAAAAAATCTACACAATGGTCAATCAGAAACTCTGCTGGACAAAAGCCCCACCTGACTCTGCCTACTTTTTAAAAACACTTGGGAGGCACCAGGAAACATTTAGGTGGGTACCATGCTGCCTAAAGGCCCCATGTTTGGGATCTACAAGGTCGAATAAACTGTTCTTCCTTATACTTTGCATAGCTGAAAACGGTGTTGGTATGTTCTTTTGATACAGAACTTTCCTTCCAAGAGAGTATGGTAGAATCTTCCTTCTGGATGGGATATATATTTTAAAATATACACATGTATGTAGAAATGAGTCTCACATGTACGAAATACTGTTATTTTAGGATGATCAAAGTTGCACCACCTTTGGGTATTCACAATTTTTAAAAACTTTGTTCTGGATCCTTTTAACAAGACTGAGCCTGGGCTTTCTTTATACAGAGCATATGCTCTACCACCAAGCCATATCCCTCTCCACTAAGTTCATGACAGAGGCAAGATTCAACACAGAGAATTCCTGATTCATAGCTTAGTTTTTACAATGCAATCCTATGAAAAGTTATAATCTTCTAAGCAGGGATCATTTCGTAGAAAATGAGCTACTAGGCTATTACCATATGTCATGCCCCCTGACATAACTGGAAGTGATGTCAAAAGGGGAAGCAAAAGGGGGGGAGGCATCTTCAAAAGCCTCCCCTTCCCTTCCCCAGCTGGCCTGCGGGGGGGAGGGGAAGTGAAGAGACAAGGGGTTTAAAGTTTAAACCCCTTCTCACTAGAGTTGGGCCACAGAAGAAGGAAAGAGAGAGAGTAGAGAGAAGGAAAGAAGGAAGGAAAGAGGGAAAGAAAGAGAAGGAAAGAAGGAAGGGAAGGGGATAAAAAGAGAGAAGGAAAGAGGGAAAGAAAGAGAAGGGAAGAAGGAGGGAAAG